TTGCCCTTGTGAGGCAAGTCTCCTTAAGACCTAATGAAAGGCCGTGTCCGTTACAGTGGCACGCACTCCCGTCGTTAGGGTTTATGCATCCCCTTTCCGCGGCTAATGATACATATGCACATGAGTGAGTTATTGTTGGGATTAGGAGATGAGACATGATGATGATTGATTTATATTCATACTGCGACCATACCATCTTAACCTGTATTATTTATGTGCATAGTGGTGAGCACGCTTTTCATCTAGTGCTCATCCCCACCTGCTCTTTACCGATGCAGGTTAAGCAGGAGCTGGGTGACGAGAAGAGGCGAGTGAGTCGGTTGTTTTTATTTGTTTATCGCTTTCGTATGAATAAGGTTTTATGAACCATTATGTTGGGACTTGATTAAGATATTTTCCAAAAACCTATGGTTTGTTGTTTTGAAAAAATTTGTGGAACCCGGATTGTTGGGTATTATGGTTGATGATATATGCATGTTGAGTATTATGTCTCGTGATGTGTTTCGGTTAATGAAAACCGTTTGTGAAAACAGGGTAATGAATCCCCGTGAACCCAGATAAGACTTGGGTTATGAAAAATGTTGTTTAGCACCCATTGAATTTTCGAAAATGATTTTGAAAATTTTACAGTGATATTTAGAAAGTCCGGAATTTCTTTAAAATCAAAGTGGGGTGTTACAAAAAAATTACAATGTTAACGTTTTAAAACAAAACTACATGCTAAAAAATCAACAATCAATCTGCAGAAAATGCATCACATCATGAATCAACCCTAAGACGTCCTGAAAAACGAGAATCGAGCTCGATTCGCTTAAGCATCGAGCATTCGGATACTGACAGTTCCATTAGTCGACCACCACCCGAAATTATCCCAATGCTTTCCAAGCAACCACACCTCTCGATCACCACCTTACCGAGCCGCCCAAACTTCGGAGTGACCTGGAAAAACTTGTCCGTTATATCCGAGTCGTGCAATTTCAATTCCTCGACGCATTTGAAAAAATCCGAACCCATTAGACTACCTCGTACGTTAGCCTCACCTCCACCGTAACTAACCGAACGTACATTCTGTGCCAAAACCGACACGATTTGAACCTCACTACCCCTACCGAGATAAAAGTCAATAGCTTCCAATTTCCGGCACTCGCGAGGAACACTAACGACCTCAAAACCCTTGCACGAGACAATCGAGAGCTCCACGAGAAGCTCGCAACGCGAGAGCACGCTCTCTAGGGTTTCTTGGCCGACGAAAACGTGTAAGAGCCTTAGTTTCGTGAGCGAAAACTGGGTATTTTTCCCGTAGAAACAACAATCGCGCTCGAGAAACCGACATCCAAACAAGTCGAGACTTTTTAGAGTCGGGAGGGCACGAACGAGGGGCCGGGGAAGAATGTAGGGCCATCGGTGGCCCTTTCCCGGCCGTGACGTGGAGAAGCAAAAAAGGACCAAGTTTTGGACTTTTTTTTCCGCGACGAAAACGAGCCACTGGTTGAGATGAGAGAGGAGGCGGGCCAGACGGGGCCCGGCGAGGTTCACGACGAGCTTGAACTTCTCGACTCCGGCGGACGGTGGTCGGTTTGCGATGGAACGATCGATGTGTTGGTAGAATTGTTGGGTGAGGTTTTTGAGATTATTATTGTCGGGTTTTGAGGGGCGGTGAGTGTGAGCAGATTGGAGGAAGGAGTGGAAGTCGAAATCCATGGCGGGGAAGGATTTGTAGGCGGAGTACCATGTTTTGGAGAGGGAGGTTGACCGGACGGCGTCGATTGTGGGGAGGAAGGAGAGAATGTGGTGAAGAATAGGCTCCGGAAGGCCGGAGATTATGTCTTCGTCGAGAGTTTTCGAGTTTTTTCTTCTCTTTGTAGGAGAGGTTTTCATCTTTGAGTTGGGAGTAACAGAGGTTTTCAACTTCTTTTATGTTGGTACAGTAGAGGGCTTGACTTTGGCTTGACCTTTAGCATACTCAAGAGACTAAAACAGATGTCCTTTTTACATAAGTTTTTAGGAGAGAGAGAGAGAGAGTAAAACAGATTTCCTTTTTCATAAGGTTTTAGGAGAGAGTGCGTAGTTTCTTGGGAAGCAAGTTTCACTACTTGTGAACTAAAAAATTAGAGCAACTAGAAAATTATTTAACTGTGTTTCCAATGGTCATTGCTAGAGATGATTTAATTTGACATGTGTAAAATTATAATTAGTTGAAGAAAAAAAAATTGAATAAATAAATACTACCTCCTATTTTTAATATATGTCATTTTGAGAAGTTACACACTAATTAAATATATTTTTTTTGTCAATAATAACCTTATTTAATGAAGATAGAGATGAATGTTTTGAGAAAAAAGTGAAGAGTGAATTTGAAAAGACGTAATGTATTTATTGGCTAAATGAGAGTAATAATGAAAAAAATATGGACAAAAGATCTAAAACGACATTTATTTGGCAAATAGTTGAAAATGCTATAATGACATTTAAAAAAAATAAGAGGGAGTAATATATAATAAAAGTTGTTTAAAGGTACTTCTAATTCTAGAAAGATTTGTAGTTGTTGTTGTTGTTTTTTTTTTTTTT